TTTCTCGTTAAAGCTTCAGTGCTCTAATATATATGTGGTGGTCTCAATGACACGAGGGAAATGTTCTGCATATCCACTAAATGCCACCTCGGTTGACACTCTTGATTATTTAAATTCTATTTTTTGCGTAATCAGCATTGTTGTTAATCCCCCATATACACGATCGTAAAATCTAGCGTTGTTTCCGTCGATAGTGGCAATTCACGTTAGAGACCTTGGCACGTGCCGAAACTCGGGACCGAGTGTCAAAACGTGTGTGTGAACGATCGGGCCGAGTGGCACGTGCCAAAAACAAACTCGATCTAGATCCCGATAGATGCTCGGGACCGAAACTCGGCACTAGCCGCGATTTGCCGCCTGAACGCTCGACACGAACTAAAATCACGCCCTCGGTGTTGAATTTAAGAGTACATATACTGATTCATACTAGTATGACATGACGATGGAAGAAAGTGCAGTTAGATATGGTCGGATGCTGTAGTAATGAATAAAATGAATGCAAACCGTCGTCAGCGTCGAATATTCACGTGCTGCTTCAACCGTTTTTTCTTGAAATGCTCGATAATTGTTTTTGAATCTTCTTTGCTGTTCATGTGCACGGTGACTCAGGCTCGTAGTAAATGCTATAACAGCAAATGGAAATAATTACAATATAGCAATTATTATTATCATCATATGCGTATCATTTTCCATGTTTGGGCCAACAGATCGACGAATGAGGGCGTGATTGCGGCAAGAGCCGAGTCGGTCCCAAGTCGTTCCTGACTAACGTGAACGCAACTGCTGTAATATCTCTGCAAACACAAAGATTAAAAATGTCGGCTCGTACCGAGATCCCGTAACGTGAACGTAGCAGATGTATATCATCTCATTTTTAAAATAATGTTGTCCGCTTTGTAAATAGTTGACGTAAGTATTGACTCCCTTCACCTTCAAGAAACTCATTTTGTAATCAGTTTCTAGAAAGTAGATTTGTTGTAGGCTGAGTCATTTTCTTCAGATAACAATGAAAAGAAATTGAAATTTGTGTTCGAAATGTGTATAGTGTGTTAGGTTGCATCCGATATCTACTTGCAGATAAAAAATATAAGACTTCATTCTCGTGATTTGTAGCAAAACAAACCTTATATTATACAAACCAATGGGAAGCCGGGACTTAATCGGGAAACCTTGCCTGTTGAGAATCAGTTGAAGAGACAGGGCGCCCTCTGTTGTCGCAGTAAAATTCTATCGGGGCTCGTCGTACAAGAAAGGAAATGGGAGAGAAGCCTAGTAATACAACCAAAAACGAACGTTTACCAGGAGATGTACAGTGTTGACTGGGCATACTTGCAGTTCATGTTCAGTTGGCTTTTCTTGGCACAATATTGATAATCTCGACGAAATCCTGTTCATTTCATACCACAACATCCACAACAATGTAAACAAATTATCTGCTACCTTATTTTAAACTTTGAATGCACAATGTTATCACACAGTGAAGTAAGTAGACTATCTGTTTCAAATAATGTGTTCTTAAACTTGAGTTTCTATTTTTATAGCTCAATGTCGAAATACCGACTCATGGCGCTGAGATAGACTTACTTCGTCACAATTGACCATCTTCAAACGCGCACATTATTGCAACGTCGTTAAATTTGTTACTGAGTTATCAACGATCGTCATGGTGTTTCAAAACATTCCCAACCCAACTACAAAAACTGGCCTTCTTGATTTGTATCTTACGAAGACTGTGCTATTGTATCTTACGAAGACTGTGCTATTGTATCTTACGAAGACTGCGCTATTGTTCTCTCAATGTTTCTAATGCAGTCATCAATGGCTTACGGTACCGTTTTGGGATAACACCTCTAAGAAATATGGTTTCCGTACGAAATTGTATCGTTTCCTAATTATTCTGACATCGCCGGGATAGTTTTATTACTGCTGGTGTATAATAAGTTTATAAAACAGATATATTTATTCTTTATAATGTTAAATGTTGCAAATGATCTCCCGAGATGAGATTGAAATTGAATATTACGATCATTATGAAAAGGAAAACTGGCAGTTCAGTTGATTTTCTCTAGTGAGATTATCGTTTTCATCAGTCGGCATCTATCAAACATGACCTCGCGTAACGACGTCACATGACAAAGTCAGGCTCAAGGCAAACAACCTCTCTACATAATAATAATAATAATAATAATAATAATAATAATAATAATAATAATAATAATAATAATAATAATAATAATAATAATAATAATAATAATAATAATAATAATAATAATAATAATAGACCTTCGAGGGGGACTGTTATAAACCAGGTCACCAACTTTTGGATTTTTTTTTACACAGAACGAAATATATTTATGGAAAAACACTGTTTGAAAAAAAACACAATATGAGCAGTTCATGTTTAAAGCATTATTTCAACTAATAATCCGTGACAATCTTTTATAATTACACATGATATGTAACATTTCTATAGACTGCTAACCCATTTTTTTGTTTGAAACTGTAAAAGTCAACGAAATCTGATTATACGATTTAGTCGCCATGGACGTACTCTTGGGTTGGGGATTACATCAATCTCTATTTTGTTACCAACTACAAAAAATACACTCAAAATGGAAGACCGAGAAAACATCAACCATGCTCCAAATCTAAGAACATTTAAGAACTGCAAGATTATACAGAGATAAGAACTGTATTGAGGGAATATATATCACCTTTATACAGAATTAAGTCTTCGTGGATGATGAAAAACAAATACCTACTTAATTGTAAATATTTGCTCCAGTTGTATAGAGCATCCGAATACCGCCAGCCAATGAATAATATTAGCATATCGATCACGAATGAATAACGATAAATCGCCAAATGTACTGTATACTAGTACAGCACATAGTTTACATTGTGACGGCTGTGAATCGCCCAATCATACTAAGCTTCGCGGATACTCCAGTTGGAGTCATTTAGACAAGTTTTCAATATTCTCAATTTCCCATGCCAAGTTCTGATTGGTTGATACACGTGTATGTGCGTGCCATCGCGGGAAAAATTTCATCGCCGCCCCAAGCAATGCTACTACAGTGAGAGTAGGCAATCATTTACTGTGTTAATATTTAATTTGGTGCTTTATAACCATTATTGTAGGTGAGCTGACTTTATAATCTGAGTCACCTTACTGATATAAACGTGTATTTATACGGAAGTGAGGTGTGCTAGTCGTATCTCGGTGGATGGAGATATCGAAGAGAAGTTACAACAGTGTCGCTGATTTCTCAAATGATCACTCCCAGGACCTCTATTGAGACATGGGTAATGGTGGAATCGAACATTACAACCATTCTAACGGACATGATGACGGAACCGCAGCCTACTTATCACCCCGAGAACAACTACAATCACTCGAGCTTCCCGTATGATCTTAATTTTGTGTTCAGCATGCAGAGATATCACATGATCATTAGCTCCATCATGTGCGTTTTCGGGTCGTTTATAAATTTCTTCGTCATATTAGCGTTCCTTCGCTGTAGACGACTTCGCAGCGCAACGAACTGGTTCGTTTTCAGCCTATCCATGTCTGATTTCACCTGTAGTGCTATCATAACGCCTTCGGGAGCCGTGTACTACTTCGTACCTGGTTTAGCGGACAATACTTTCTTTTGCGTCTTTTTCAACGGACTCCGACTCGTCATCCTCTACTGTACCGAACTGCTTAGCCTCCTACTCATCGCAATTGATCGATTCATCGCTGTGACTCGACCTCTCAAATACCGACAAATCATGACAAGAGAGCGGGCAAAAACCATGGTGGCACTAGTCTGGGTGTTCTCCTATGTTTTCGGATATGTTCCGGCAGTTGTGGACACAGGCTTAAATAGTTGGATTGATCTATGTGATGGATATTTTAAATACAGCACAATTTTCTCACTTATATTTGTGTATGGTCTGTTCACTTTTTCATTTTTGGCTATCCTAGTGATTTATGCTATCGTCTTCGTCAGGGCGAGAACACAACTGAAGCGGAAGATCGGCGACATGTCGAACGGAGAATTGAAAAAGAAAGTGTCGAACAGCGCGACCGTTGCAAAGACCATGTTTGTTATTGTAGCTATTTTTACCATTGCTTGGGTACCGAATATGACGATAAGTCAAATATTACTACATTGTGAGCAAGTTGAAATCCGGGGACAAGTGTTTTCTCAGTGTAGTAACAACATAAATCACAATCTCGCCCTTGGTATGAAGTATTACTCATTGACCTTTGTTGTAATAAGTTCCGCGATCAATCCGCTTCTTTACTCGTATCGTATCAGACTGTTGAGAAAAGAAGTTCGGAAACTGGTGTTGTGCTGCTTGCCCAAGAAAAGACAGGTAAATGAAGCACATCCGGTCGGAATCAGTATTATCTCTAATTAAAGAGATGTTTGTGATCTGCCAAATACAATCTACATGGACTGAACACACCACACAATGAATACAGCGCCGCCTACTGTATTTTTCATAAAAAGAAATGGATTAGAAAAGATTTGAAAATGATGGAATGTTTTGTTTCTTATAAATCATGATTTGTTACTAAAATTGCCATAGCTCACCACGATCCTTCAGTATTGAAAATAGAAATACGCCAATCGACTCTTATAAGATGGATCAATTGACAAATGTTCTATTTTTAAACAAATTGATTGCGTCCTGGAACGCAGTTAGCATGTGTTTATTACCAAGTACGTAATATGACACGTATTTTACACGTGTCGCCTTCGTGCTGTAACCGAAGTGTGTTGATTTCTCAACCACAAAGGTCATTTCGGCTCAGTATTATACTGAATAAAAAACACTATGGCTATTTAACTGGTACCTACTTTCAAATTTATTTAAGCAGTTTATTTTGGTTGAACGAACTAATACGTAAAACGTTGACGCCGATAGGTAAATGATAGATGAATTGTATGTTATCATGTATCTTGGAATTGTGTACTTTTATTATGATATGGAAACGTATATTTGATAGAACCACTATTATTATGTTAAGACACCAAATGCTTGATTTGAATATTTATCTATAATGTGTTGTATTTGTGTGTCCAGGCTACAAAACCTGTACACACGCGTACATACTGGAATCCTGGAAAACTTTAATGTATACGCAGCGCGATGTGTTCAGTGGCAAACGAGTTGTTATGTGAATAATGCTCTATATTTACGAATAAACTACGTCTTTGAAACCTCATGGGGTTTATTCAATGCAGTGACATTCCGTTGTAGATATAATGTTCACAATGTGTATATGTGTGTGTATTTACTACGTATGAGAATCAATAAAAAACGACTTAGTAGTAGAAATTGCGGACTTTTTATCGGTCAACGATTATTTTGCAATACAGGGACGTCCACGACTTTTCTTCCGATCTAAAGCTAAAAAATGGAAACTAGATTAAAATTGAGATTGCACTCAGGCTATGATAATCATGCAATATTACATGTAAGTACGAGCACAGATTACGAGTAACAAATCTTTAATGTGAGATTGATCAAAAAATATTATTTAAAAAACAATTATATTTCAATTTTTCCAATCAGTGTTTCTACGGATATTGTTTCCTTCACATCTAGGAAAGTTTAAATTTGACGCATTTACGACCGATACTTTATAGAGTAATATTCGACGTATTAAGATATAGACGGGTGCAGGTGCGGGCACTCGTAGTCCTAAAAAAACATTTTTTTTTTTAACAATTTTTCTACGTAGACAAACTTAGCTTCACACTGTTAACATTTCAGAGCTCTGCTCCAAGTGGTACATACTAAAAATAGTGCTCAAATTAACTTGAAAAGAACAAAAATGCATTTTGTTTGAAGGCTCTGCATCGTTTGCAAGGATGTGAATAAATAATGCAAATCATGAATTGGAATGAGATACCAGAATCTTCGTATAATTTACAATTAACAAGTCATCTGAAGATTACACAACCCCCACTTGTCAGATGTGATTATATAGTTGGCTATGAATTATACAGTTTGAATGTATATGTATAAAATCGGGTAGGAAGATTAAGTTGAAAATCAAAAGTATGTTACTCAAAGTTAACAACTAGGACATCTCTATTAAATTTGGTAATATTTGCATCAATTTAAAAAAAAATGAGTCAATATTAAATAGTGGTCTTTGTACCAAGTCTTTGTACCAAGTCTTTGTACCAAGTCTCTTTTGTACCAAGTCTCAGCAAAATCGGTCCAGGCAGCTCCGAGAAATGATGAGGAAGAACCCCAAAAAATGGATTTTACAGGATTTTGACATTCAAAATGACCGCCAGGCAGCCATATTCAATCAAATCAGGAAATAAATCCACGTGAATATGTATAGCTCCTCAATGTGTCTTTGTACCTAGTATCATTGAAATCAGTCAAGGCATCCCTGATAAATATCAATGGACAGACACAAGCCATGATTAACAATCAAAAAATGGCTGCCAGTCGACCATAGTTTATCATTTCAAAAAAGTAAAACAACGTGCATCTGTATGGGTGGTCCTTTTGTCTTTGTAACAAATCTCAACAAAATTAGTCAAATCATCTCCGAGAAATGACGATGGACACACAAGGACCGAATTTGAGAATCGAAAAATAAATTGACGTGCACATGTACGGTTGACCACTGTTTCTTTGTACATGTACTAAGTTTCAAAAAAATTGGTCCAGCCGTCTCCGAGAATTCACTTCGGACGGAAGGACTACAAGCCCGCTCCCGGACATTGTCCAAGTGGGGGCCAATAACAGAACATTTTACAGAAAAGGTATTGGTTTGTTTATGCGAGAGTTATAATCAGTGTCTGTAAATTTTTCATTGGATGAATAATGATGCAAAGTAGCTGTTCTCTAAACTTAAATTTTACAGGTGATCACTTAAGTACTGCGTTGTTTCCAGTGACACTCCCACAATACGTTGGTGCCTTGTTTTGTTGATAGTGTGTTTTGTGTTTTGGCACATTTATACAAGACTTGTATAAATGTGCCAAAAAGGGTTATCAACGTAATTGAACTTGCTTAACTTTTTATAACTTCTCGCGCCATTGTTGGGACAAAACATAATATAAAACAGTCTGGTCATTTTTTAGAAACATGCCATTTATACAGTGTGAACATTCCATTCATTCATATTTTCATTAAACACAATCTCTAAGAACGAATTTAAGTTGAAACTTTTCCTTTTCCAACTCAAAACCCAAACAGAGAAACTTCGTGGCATTGAAGAGTGAACATAATACTCGCCCCCACTGTGAACATATGCACCAATAGTATCTGTACTCAATCACTCAATTAACTTCCAACCACCCAAAATACTATATTCTGTTAATGCAACAAGGTTGATCTATCACTTCCACCAGACGACTGGAATACATGCATATCGGTGCAAATAAATCATGTTTACCTTTGCTGTCGTGACTGGGTCAAGCAGTTAATGAGCTGAGAGTCTTGTAATCTGTCATGTGTCGATGAATTCTAGAGTGATTTGTTACCAACCCAACTTTTCAACATAGAGTTTCAGTCTAATTTATTGAACAATAAATCTTGAAAAACAAGTGCTACGGAAACAAAAACACATACACCTTTCCCCTGCTTGTAAATCATTCCTAACACTTTCATATCAATAAAATGCATTATAATTTTAGTAAAATTCATCTCAGAACTAGACAAACATTAATACGATTATTTGACACTGTCGTTACACAATTAGTAGAATAATTTGTTTTTCTCTTGAACAAAGGCTACTTATATCCTAAATTGTTTAGTATAATTGCAACACTACATGGATGCTTCGGATAACATACATGTGTAACATTTCGAAACCTCTTCTGTCACGGGTAAAACGTCTTCCTTGTGTGAACACACATTAGAATGTCGACCTTTAAATTGATAACGCCTGCAAGAATGTCACTTAATTCAAGATAGATTTCCCTGGGTGTGTCATGGCCAAATCCATTCATTAACTAAATGCATTCGATAGTTGGCTGATGAAGAAAGTAACTCGTCAAATTGACAAAATCTTCTTGAGGTTTCCTTGATATTTTGATAGTTCACAGAGTACACAAGTCATTATAGATGTCGAATGAATAGAGTTTGCTGTAGACATAAGTGTACAATTTAACGAACAATTTCATATGACCCAAATGGACACAAGTATGCCATTATGAATTTGATTGGGAGGTTAACACCAAATGTAGATATCTGAAAAACGGTCGTGGATAGGTTGACAGTGTGTTTTTTTGTTGGAGACCAAAATGGTAACCTCATAAAATAAAATAAAAACAAATAGATGTATATATACATCTTCCATTACGTTGTGTCTTGTGCACATTTTGAACAAACTAATCGGTCCAAAATGAATCTGTACAGACAGGCTAACACTCCTGACTACGTACAAAGGAAACTAATGTCAGAATTAGGAGTCCATGCGCCATGCTTTAAAATGGCAACCATTTTGTGAAAACAAATTAGAAAGCTGGAATAAATCTTTGAAAATTTTCGAAACAGATATGGGTTACATGTAATTTGGAACTGAAGTTGGTCACCCCTAATCAGAAACGCCGAGTTACGCGTAATTGTGACCTGGAATTAGATACCTGTAATTAGATATATTAAAATATGTATTGTTGTCTAAAGTTCAAATGTTAAATGTCACACATTTCTATACGCTAACTTTAATATTTATGAATAATTGTGGAGCTTCGTGAGCCATGAACTAGAGCAAGTTGATTCAATTTCAATCCACCAATCATCGACACCGACTCAATTAATATGCACGTACAAGTGTGTCGTCTACTAAAAGCCATTCCAGCAAACCCAATTTAGAAGACACGGGATAACTATAAATTGCATTAAGTATAACCAACTGACCCACTAGTTAGACACATGTATGCTATAAATATTGGCGTTCAGTCTATCACATGTAAAGCCAACTTGCACAATTATTTCGCGTATTTTTAGGGTTTATGATACTACTATTTTTAGTGCCTTAGACTTGTAATTGTTTTCTATTTAATCAGTTCGTTGTTCGTCTATTTAAGTATATACATACACTACACGTACATTCGTGTTTTACAGATCACGGAAACCCGTGAAATGTACTAATTGGAAGCCCGCAAATCTAACTCTTTGAAGGCACATTCCCACTGACATTGCTTATAACACCCTTGTTATTTTGTTCAATAAATCAAGATAATATCATATAAATGATTATCCACGTATCACGATTCGTATACAATGCAATATGTACGCATAACACGTGATTTTTTTATCAATTTCTCCCACTCCTATAAACTGTAACGAGAAAGACACGATTCGTTAGTCACGTGAATGAAAGTACCTCGTAACCGAGGCATTTGTTTTCGCAAGTTTTTGTCAAGATCGCAATTATAGCCCAGGAAAGCAACAATTCAAATATATTATGATCATCTATTTCTCAAAAGATCAGATTCTAATCAGAATACTTTAAACTTCTGCAGCCCATACTCCTGAAAATGTAACGTTCGTGTTTGTTTAGCTTTGTCCAAAGTTTTCATGAATGATTTGTTCACGTGGATTGTTATGTTAATTGTCAGGCGTTTGTTTTGTTTTCTCCAAATTTCTCTGCAAGACTCTTATTTTACTAACGCGATTTAAATAATTACCTTTTTAATTATTTAATGTTTATTATATTTTAAACATTATAAAACATCATACTACTACGATGCATTTACCTAAGAAATATTTTGGGGCCTTGATTTGAACAGAACGTCCCATTGACACAAATATTATTTAGTAAATATTTGTATTTATTTATTTGTATATATACCTGCGAGTGTTAAGCCAAACTTGTATCAGCCCTTTAATATAGTCGAACTCGGCAACCAGTAAGACCAACTACCTTACTCAAGTAGGACATTAATTCAACTGAAGTATCAGAAATTCATATTCACATTATTTTTACTCGAGTGTTTCAGTAAAGTCTGGCAGATAACGTCATGACCACTCAACTAGATTGCACTGTGCCCTCCGTGTGAACCGTGACCGACCCAGGGTTATGATGGATTGCCAAGAAACAACGGAGAAAGCGATATCTCATCTAGTAGCCGCAAAATCAACCAATGTTTTCTTTCATTTGCCATACTACCCATATCATACAATCTTAATAACTCGCGGTCGTTAACTCTCCGTACACAGCAACCAGTGAAACTAAACACTCATATTAAAGTATTAATTTACAGCAATTTCATATTCAGCTCATTATTAAAGTGGTACAAGTGGAAGTGACACGATCACTATACCAACTATAGCGTCACAGGCAACTCAAGTATATATTCATAGTGCTCACTCAGTCATACCCGTACACTGAGCCATAATCGTCCCAGAACAGATGGTGTTTAACAGTAATATAATGCACGATCTGTAGTCTAAATACATTATATTTTCTTCTTTCTCAAAGATTGCCATTTTAGAATGGATCAAAAATTCTATTGGGATTCCTGCTGATATCCCAATTTAAAAAGAGCAAATTACACAACTAAATAAATATAGCATATTCTGGGATTCTTCTTAAATTTAGACGAGTGATGCCAGTGTACTTCTATCACCACTAATGAAATATCAGCATGACCATGAATTTAGGAATCAACAAGCTTCGAGTTTGAATAAAGTTTTGCCTACATTTATTGAAATGACTGCTTTGAGGTGAAGTTGTTTTTAACAGCCAGGGTATGCTTCTATTTTTATTAGGGGAATGAAGAAAATGATCAAAATTATATTGAAAAGGCACCATGGGCGATCTCATTCACATTACAAAAGGTCACATACAAATGAGTGTTGCATTGTGACCACTCTCTATCAAACACCTGTCATCACATTTCACTTATCTATATGCCTTGATAATCATATGTTGCATTACATATTACACATGCAGTACAAGTGATACTGAGCTATGTCCATACCTTGGTTAACCCCCAAAGGTGATGGCTAAAATGGTGATTGCAGATAATGAATTTAAGGGACAGGAACAGGATGGACGATGAATTGATATGTGGAACAGTGTCCATGAAGTGTACCATCACATTCATCCAGTAACTAAACAACTGTATGACTGCATCTCCATGAGGATTGCTTGACAATTACCCAAATGTGTTCAAACATGCTCTCAAACATACAAATATTTTTTTTGTATTATTATTCTTCAAGAGACACTTTCAAAATACCTTCGCCAGATTAATTATGCCTGTAATTCCAAGGAATTTATTAAAAAAGCAAATACACAAGATTAAATTTTATTTGAAACCATAAGTTGGTAAATTATGCAAATTGACAATTTAAAATAACATATTTTGGTTCAGCAAGGTAAGAGGGTGGATATTTATGTAACACTATTAAATCACAAAAAAAAGCACAGCAACCTTTTAGAAACAAAAGGTTAGGGTCACAGCTTGTGTTTATATGTTCAACTAAATAATATCAATGGCCAGTACTGTCAAAATTTGCACAGAAGTTCCCTATGCGATTTTGTATATTACTACAGAAGGGAAATAGCCAGGAACTTCAAACTTGGCACACAGACTCCCTATATGTAATCAACATAAGATGACAATTTTAGAGGACATACTACATATTTCCATTAGTCATCAAATTTACAAAATATATAAAGTTGAACAGTTAGAACATGCCAGAGATATTGATCTATATATATTTCGTAAACTTGATAACTAATGGGGACTATATCAGCCATTTTGAATACAATCTGTAAAACAAAATGACATGCATAATATCCCATGTTAAATTTACATATTAATGTAGAACAAAATCTGTCCATGCACGACAAGATCCTGAATTGCAGAAATGCTTTATTTTGATGAATTTTCAATACTAGATTGTTCACCATTTGGCCGCATTGAATATTATTATACATCTGTCATCATAACGCCATAAGTTACAGCGTGCTGTAATTTTGCAGTATTGCACTGGGTATTATCATTCTACCATATTAGGAAATGGGAGTTCCAAATACTGTAAATTTTGAACATGATTGTTCATGGAAGGTCAGAGTTATTGCTTTGCAACTGCATTCATTAAAATGAAAACTGACCTAAAAAACAAGTGACGTGCATCACTCATAATGTCTAATGTATGCAGGTTACTTGTATTTGAGATATTTGTCATGATTGTTTCCATGGAAACACTTTGTGATTGAAACATGACTGGGGTGGGGGCGGGAAAAATATTCTTAGATTATTTGTATAAATAATTAGAAGCAAAAGTTGATTACCATTTTGAAAATTAATTCCATCTTACTCATGCTTACTGTGTAGAAGCAAAAATTATGAGTAGAAAATGACGAACCATAAAAAAAACTCTCCAAAATTTTTAATTTTTAAAAAAAGTTATCATTGTGGTATTCCTTCCGCTGTACCTGCTTCTGTTAACACAGTGTTGTCAGTTGATTTGTTGTTTTCAGTACACACAACAGAGTGCTCTGAATTTGAACCATCTTTATCCTGAAGGTTTGTGTTTTCATCTGATGATGTACAGTCAGTTTTCTGATTTACATGTACTTTATCACTATTACCCTCATTTTTCACCTTGTTCTCCTCAACTGAGACACTTTCTTCATTCTTAGCATGTATTGATGGGCTTGTCTCTTTCTGCAAATATACTTCCTCTTTTTCTCCCATCTCAGCTGTTTTTTCACTCTGCTACAAATAAAGAAAAAATCAATTCAATTAGGACTTTCAAGTTAGGGTTGCTTATTTATGTTATAAGACTGTAGTATTTGGATTGATCCTACTCCATAGCATGGACCTCACTAGTACGATACTATGAACTACCTCACTAGTACGATACTATGAACTACCTCACTAGTACGGTACTATGAACTACCTCACTAGTACGATACTATGAACTACCTCACTAGTACGGTACTATGAACTACCTCACTAGTACGGTACTATGAACTACCTCTGTCGTGGATGCTCATCCACTTGTGTTTTTCCTCATTGATTCATATTTGTTCTTGTTTATTCAGTTTTATTCTTTCGTATTCGTAATTTAGTTATATTATTAGATCATGTTTTGCTTTATCTATTCCTCTTTATTTTGTTCAATTACATGCTATATTAGCTGAGATACAACAATTGAAAGTTGTTACATGCCTGAAACTATGCCGTAATGCATGTATCTCTATTATATACAATCCAATTAATAATAATCAATAGACAGCACGAACGCAATAGGAATCAGTTGCAAGGTCGATTTTAAGCTGATGTGCCAATATTGAAATCCAATCACTGTGTTTCCCTCCTATTTTAATCCATAGGTGTGAATCCTGCTCAACCCTATAAAAAGGGCATTCTATCGTGTATTTATCAGTTGCCTTCTTGTTACATTGTAGTTTCTTTGTTGTAACATCGCCATAATAAACAGTGTATTGTTTAAATGTACATAACGCTTCCTTTATTGTAACTCTATGATCCAATGCATGCAGTTTGAACCTGATCGAATGTGAGCGAATATCATCCACAACCTCACTAGTACGGTACTATGAACTCTAACCAAATGAAAGTGTATAATGATGAATGCCTGGTCTAATTGGTGCTGATTAGTACACTAAATAAATTGATCCCTCAGGACATGGAACACATTCATTGACAGATACATTGAAAGAACTTAATGACTATAAATTGAAACCTTTCAGAGTATGACACGCGTTTTAAATTTTAGAATGATTACTATATGTAGCTGGTATATTATTTGTTGAACTTTATACAGACTAAATTCATCTTAAGACAAGAGATACATTTTTCAAACATTTTGCATCCATGTAAAAATCACAAAATAATGTAACAGTAAAGATTTTGAGGATGAGATTTCAAGGAATTCACAGTGAATATATACACACTCATTTCAAGTGTTAACACATAGTTCAAAAAGGAAGTTGAAAACATTTTTTTACTGGATTCTAAGTTAGATGATTTGCAGTACCAAAAGGGAGCACTGCAATTCAGTGGCGCCACTAAGTGTGTGTGGGGGGGGGGGGGGGTTGATGGGGTTCTCCCTACCAGGGTGTGGAGTTTTTGATAATTCTTAAGTTAAAATGGAGCATTCTATGGCTTCCTTAGGGCCAAAATTACTATCAGACAGGTCACAGTTAAAGACTGTGGCCACATGTGATCTCTGGTCAATCAGAATTTTATGGTTGCCAGAGGATCTGCTCCCCAGGGTAAGGGGGCGCATGGCCATGGCATGAGGGCGCTGCACTCATGTTCCCTTGTTTAAAACAATCTCCGAGTACTGTAAACTGTTGCCACTAATTTTGACAATTGGATGATTTAATGGCATTCAGACAAAAGTAAAAAATCATTCACACCTTGTGTTATATAACAATAGGAAAATTGTCATTGTTCAAAATTTAGTGATTTTTAATGACTCATTTTTCTGGTGCAAAATTAAAGCAGTTTACAGTATCACTATCAGCAAAACACTGGGAACATTAAGAAGTCTACAGTATATAGTTATTAAATAGGAAGTTATAAAAGCATGTGATATTATTATACATCTGTCACCATAATGCCATAAGTTACAGCGTGCCATAATTTTACGGGGCATTTTCATCCTATCATAGGAAGGAAGAAAATACGAACTCCAAATATGGAACAATTACACGCGTAAGTGTCCTCTAATAATAATAAAACAAACATGGCTGTCATCTGGGTTTGACCGGACTCCACACAAAGAAGTTTGTTGATTCTGTTCTAAACTTTTTTGAATTTCGGCATTCCAACGATGTATCCTTGGAAGGAAAAGATGTATGCACCTAGACAGTACACCGACCTCTGCCGTAGGTCGGCCGATACTCCAGCTGTACTGCCTACGTGCATACTTTGCGGTATTCTCGTAATAACCTTATATGATTGGGTACACAAAATACCTACTTGGTGAGTGTTTATATTAAGATGTGCTGCCCTGTAAGAATCCTTGTCTCTTGTATCATATGTATGTAGTGGTAATGATGTCAACCATTTCATCATACTGAGTATGTGTTGTCATGGAAATGGATAAACATATATAGTAATAACATAATAGTATTGATAATAATGTCAAGTTTTACATGAAGACAAATATTTATAAATGCAACAATTTTGGTTTTCAAAATCATGTGTAAAATATCAGTGTTGCTCCATGCCATGTTAGAAATGAGTTCCATGTGATGTATATAAAGCATACACTTGTTTACATAATATTCAACATTACGCTGCACACCATGTGGTGTTTTAATTATTTGTTTAAAATATTTGGGATTTTATCTTCTTCAGGGCCTAAATGAAACAGTTTACAGTTGTAACAACATTGAATTTATGTTTCTATGGCAACAAGAATTTTAATCTTCTTCCAAAGCAATACACTCCAAAATGGAAACCATTTTTATCATGTTTATCCCTAACAAATATTTTAAGAATATATTAGCATGTTTTGGACATTTGAAATCAGCTGGAGTAAATAATTACCAAGGAAACCAGATTTACATACATCGTAAACCTGAAATGATTCTATATATAGATGAAGAATGAATTTCACTTTTTATACCGTGAAATCAGAAATTATTGATTGTATATTCAAATAAATAGAAATTTGTAACATCGCTAACAATCCATAAGCCATACATCAGTTATAGTGAACTGTAAAGAAATAGTTATGTAATTAATTTTAAGTTTGTAAATCTTTCTGTAACTTTATTTGCCAATAATTGTATTGTAGGATGAACCAACACGAGTGATTACTGCAAAAACAAATAAAAAACATTCATGAAGTATGAATTTAAATAATAAAACTCATCCACTGATCCAACTCATTTCAAATGATGCATGAATTTCATGGAAGGATACGATTTCTCTTTGATTTCTGTTTCAATTATAGATGGGTAAATATGTTCTTCTTTAAACTTCCCAATTGTTTCCTGATAAGTTTGGAAAAAAAGAAAAGTTTTCAGACAGTCAGTTAACAAGAGCCACAACTCCATAATACTGGCAACAATGCTTTGCAAAGACCTTTATGAATATGCACCCACACTTTTCATGCATGAAACACAATTCCTGAACATATTATCTATAACAGTTATAAAAATATTTAGCCAAATTCCTTTAAAAATGATGTCATCACCTCATACTGCTCCCAAGTTAATGCTTCATGAATACCATCATTACCATATCTCTTATTGTAGCCATCAAAGTGAACCTTGTACAGAGAAGAAAAATGAAAATGTCAACATCAATCGATGAGCTCAAAATAAAGAAAAATTACCAAGCGACAGGGTTCAGAATTTTGGACTTGATTTTGAACTCAGAGTTGAAAGTAACGTTATTGTGAACGCACACATTAGTCTGTTTTCACATAACAAATTGAATCCCTAATTTACCTACATAACATGTACTACACAATTTATTCAAATCAAATATCAAGTACCTTGAAAGCAATTCATCTGTTCAATTCAGTGTTTTTTGTTCTACAGTACAAATCACACACAGTGCAAGATGGCAGCACATAATGGTAGAAGAAAATGCATTGAATGTTACTACACTTACTCAACTGAGAATCTGAAGTGGGTACTAATTGGTCATTTAAACAGTTATTTTGGAGGGAAATTGTTTTTGACTTATGACCGGGGAAATACGGTATATCTCAGCACAATCCCTGTTAAAATTTGAACTTTTTTACAACCTTTAACACGTTACCTGATAGAATATATTCAATAAAACTTCAATCAGTTTTTAAATTGTGTTATATAAATGTCTACTATGCCGACTTTATCCTGTGATGCAATGTGCAAAGCAGTGAAAAATTGGCAAAACCAAGCATGTTGGCAACCACTGTCTGAAAATTGAAACAGGCCGGCATACAGGATTGGATTTTAAAGACAGAATCTGCAATATGTGTGACAATGACCATGTTAAATAAGAACAACATTTTGTCTTAAATTGTCCTCATTACAATGAAATAAGATTAAAACTTTACATTGTAGTTAATAAATGTATACCAAATTTTGACAAACTTAGTGGTGATGAAAATAAATTCATATCATTACTAAGTGATGAGAAAATGTCAATTCCTTTAGCACAATATTTAAACAAGCTCCACTGTTAGCAATGCACATTACAATTAAAGAACAGATATCATTAGAACATGAACAATATGTATAGTATCAAAGCAATCAGACTTGCGGTTTTCAACAATATTGGAAAATATCACTTTTTACTAAAAATATTCACCAAAATTAGAGAATTGAAGTAATCATTACAAAATGAACAAATCTGAGAGAGCTCCACATGTAGTACCTATATATGTAATATCGAAGCAATTGGACTTGCGGTTTTTAACAAGAAGTTGAAAATATCACTTTTTACCAAAAATGACAAAAATATTCACCAAAATTAGAGAATTAAAGATATTACAAAATGAACAAATCTGAGAGAGGTCCACATGAAGTACCTATATATGTAATATCAAAGCAATTGGACCTGCGGTTTTCAACAAGAAGTCGTAAATTTCACTTTTTACCAAAAATTACAAAAACATTCATCAAAATTAGAGAATTAAAGATATCACTACAAAATGAACAAATCTGAGAGAGGTCCACATGTAGTACCTATATATGTAATATCAAATTAATCAGACTTTAGGTTTTTTACATGAAGTCGAAAATATCACTTTTTACCAAAAATGACATAAATATACACCAAAAATAGAGAATAATAATATAAGACAGCAGCACCTTCATAAACTAAGCCAGTAACACATTCCTTGTATACAAATTTTTATCATTTTTTTCTTTATGCTTGATGTTTCTTTACTTTTCATGCAGTTATTTTTCTTTTACTAATATCTTATTTGTAACCCTTTTCATCCCCTGCAGGGGATGTTGTGTGTTAATAAATAAATAAATGTAAAGGTACTTGAACTACTGAGAATTGATAACTGTGGCTCATGTTGTTACAACACATAACTACAATCACCTAAGATACTAGTATATACTTAGTACTCTGCTATAGCTGCAATGAATCACAACTGCCATATAAAAAGTATATTCACATTGACTCCACGAGTTTGTTTTTAAAGAGTCACCATAAGAATCAATTTTTGATATTATTGTCTTTTGAACAGAGGCGGTCTGGGGCGGTCAGAGGCAGTCAGAGGCGGTTAGAGGCGGTCAGAGGTGGTCAGAGGCGGTCAGAGGCGGTCAGAGGCGGTCAGAGGCGGTCAGAGGCGGTCAGAGGCAGTCAGAGGCGGTCAGAGGCGGTCAGAGGCGGTCAGAGGCGGTCAGAGGCGGTCAGAGGCGGTCAGAGGCGGTCAGAGGCGGTCAGAGGCGTTCAGACGCGGTCAGACGTGATCAGAGGCAATCAGAGGCGGTCAGAAGCAATCAGAGGTGGTCAGAAGCAGTCAGAGGCGGTCAGAGGCAGTTAACAAGACAGCTAGAGAAGTTATCGAGACAGTTAGAAACAGTGAACAAGACAATATATTGTAAAGTAAAATTGTCCAGTATTGGTTCTTCACTTTTTATCTTTAAACAAACAAATTACTTTAAACAGTCATACAAAGATACTTGAGCTGTATCAGTGTACCGATAAAGTTTAAGCATCTCTCATATAACTATTTCCAATCATAAAGTTGCAACTCATTTCAGGCACCTGGGAATTCCCACAGGAACTAGTCTTTATGAGCGGTACAATTAATCTATGCACATAGATAAAATAAAACAGAAATGGATTATTTTCAATATTACAACCAAAATTGATATATTTGTATCAATATTCATGGCCTCATTAATTATAGCTAATTGCTAATTGTTGGAATTAAATGACAAATGTGCTCTAATAAAAGTAGTTCTCACATGAAACCATTTGAATGTAGATATATTGTTGTTTTTATCACGTTATCTGATTTTAAATTCACTAATATAAAAATTGTAACTTTATTAAGATACATATTAATACCAATATAATTTCAGTCTGTAACACTGAGCAACAGTTACAATGAATTACTGGCACCGTAGAAACCAATGAAAACCACTGGAGTAAGAAAATGTTCCAATTTAACCCAAAAAGTTAGATTCTCACAGTGACAATCAATTCTCAAGTCAGTCCCAATCTCTATAATTAGCGGTAATCCAACAAAATACTACTATACATACATTTTCCAGCATGAGCCCCAAGGACGGCGCCTTCGGAATGTCCATCTTTCCTGCTTCCCAGCATTTGTCAAGAGTTGATTTGGGCGCTACTCCCCTAATAATGGCTATTACTAGACCTACACAGAAAACAATGAAGATATTTATACATTCTTAAAATTCAAGGTGTTTTTTAATAATTATTAAAATTAACTTGTTCAATTAAATACATTCTTTAAGATCTAAAATAAATCTTAAACATATTATTAATGATTGTTATTTTACAATATTAAAGTTTTCTATTTCAAATTTTAGTTTTGACCAGATTACAAGTTATACCAGAAATGATCTAATGAAATCATCTTGTTGTTGAAATTATTATATCAATCAATTTATTATATATATAAATAATTGAATCAATATAAACATAAATATCATTTGATGCAACACATCAAAGGAACCAATCAAAGCTAGTGTATCTGAGAAAAATTAACCTAGGTATTATAAAATTATTTTTGTTTACATTCATTGTCTGAATTAGTGCTGCCATTTTTTACACAATGACCATCAAACATCATAGAAAACTACTATAGTGAAAACAAAAGATCTACATTTGCTGCCACTAGAGGACATACTCACCAATCATCTTTCTTATTTGATGAATCATAAAACTTTGTCCAATGATGGTTATAACAACAAACTCTAAACCACATCGGACAAATGCCTGGCTGACATTTAACTCCCTCATAAACCTCATGGCACTCTGTTCTGTAAAGGCTCTGCCATACAAAAATGGAAATACAAAATGATGAATCTGCCAAAAGATAGGAAGCATAAAATGAGGCTGTCTGATTTATAATATGTTCAGTATTCTCTCCAGACTCCATGCCAAGCATTGAGGCTAATTTGCATAACAATATATCTAACTAGCATAATTTAATTTGCATAACAATGAGTTTCCCCAACAAACATTGTGATATAACAACAACAATAAAAAAGAGATATTTTTATTCTCATATATTTCAAGTCAAATTAAGTTTGAAATAGAATAGCAAAAAAATGGAAATACTTATAGCCAGTCAGGAAATATATTATCAATGGCTAGGTAACATTGTTTTGTGTACATCTTAGAAATTACATCGAAATCGCCAACGAGATGTTGTTTTTAAACATTGTGGAAAAACATGCACTCTGTGCCGCCACCTTTGTTACCTTGATTGGAATCCCCCAGCATGCATCGGCCACAATGTAACAACATGCATTACGCCCTTAGGGCGGCATTCCTCGGTACTGAGGCACTCTATGAATGAGATATTTCTAGAGGTCAGGGTTCATTTTTTCTTCGGCTGTCTGGTCTGCAGTTGAATAATTTTTAATTCGATTTATTTACAGTTTTCTTTCCAATGCGACTTAATTTCACTTGTTATTTTTTTTAATTCCTTGTAATTAGTGTCACTGGCGATGGAGTAGTAAAAAACGCAAATTTAGATAGATCATCCTGACGCAATGGGCAAATTATCACTATTTGTTTTTGGATTTGCAGGCTCCTTGGCAACTTCTTGTAGACTTCTGTATTTATTACTGTCTTTGTATGGCTAACAAAGGCAGAATTACTTTTTGAACAATACATGTTATTGTTTTAAAGATGTGCAAGACGAGGCTGACACTTGTAAACAATACAACAACTTGAATAAGCATAGCCGACAGGATTTCAAGGATCGTGGCGAAACGAAAGTGACACGGCTGTTTATCTAAGCAACGGGGGCCAGCGGTGCTTGAAATGCCTGGGAATAACACTGAATTGTTGATTGATACTAAGACTAGAATCTATGGTGTGCACCACCTGTATGATGAAATGCTAGCATGAATGGTTAGTATTTAACAACAGTATCCAAGATGATTTTGATGAAGACAAATTCAATCAACAATCATATTTATAGTCAGTATCTGACTTACTGCATTCAGTGTACAGTATTTTGTCTAGCAGACCTTAGTCAATTCTAGGCACCTTCAAGAACATGACAACAGTTTTACATAGATTCAAACAAAATGAAAGTTGAAACAAGAGTTAAAATATTTCTTACTTTCCGGATGTGAAATTATGAAAGTTGTGTGTTCCTTTGTAGCAATTCAAAAGATCCTGAGCTTTTTGATGCACTTCATCTGAAAGTAAATTCACAAATATTTACATTTATTTTTTTTGTATTTATAAACACTTGCATATTCTGCAAAGGAACAGAAATGGTTACAAAATCAAATGAAAGAAACAAAAAACACTCAAAATTTCAATACAAAACAAAACTCTATAAAAACTCTTATGTGCCTATTATCCCACAGAAGGTGGTTTCAAATATTTATACTAAAATTGTCATCAAATTTGTTTTGATTGAAACTGAAAAACAATTCTCCCAAAATTAACATTTAAAGCTGTGATGTACACGTTTTTAACTAACAGACGAATGGGCTAAAATATCACAATTTGGGAATTATAACATTGACAATGACTACCATAATATCATAGAATGTATCAGTACGTAAATAGGGGTGTAAGTAAGCAAAAATGTTGCATTGGATTGAAATATCCATATTATTCTTGAAATTCAGTCTCAAACCAATCTGAGATTTTAGCTAATAAAATAAATTCAGGCATCCAAGATTAGGCAACTGTAGACATTTAAAATCAAATAGTAATAACAAGCAGAATTGTTCTAGAAACATGCAGTGCATAACAGAGCAGTTTTGATATAATTTCAACAAGCCATGCATGGCACAGTCCCCTTAGTTATCACATTTAAGATATATAGTTTTGTTTATAGTAATATAGCTGGGGAATATAACCATGACAGGAATATGATTTTTTAACATTAAAATGATTGACAGTTGTATCTGATCGTCAAACAAGTACATGTCCATATTGAGAGATATTGCTCTGGAACAGCATTCAAAATCAGCCATTTTGAATACATGTATATATATAACATGATGTATAACGAATATATAAAATTTAAATATAATAAGTCAAAGCATTTAAGAGATATGGCTCTAGAAGCCCAATCATTAAAACAAAATGGCCGCCATTCGGCCATCTTGAATCAGATCTTGAAACAAATTGACGTGCATATGTATAATATCATGTATGATGTATGTGTGAAGTTTGATTGTGATTGGTCCAGGCATTACGAAGATACAGGTCCGGACGCACGCACAGACGCACGCACGCACGCACGGAGGTCAAAACATAAGTCCCCGTTTTCGGACTGCGTCCGAACGGGACTAATAACTTTATTCATTTTGGATAGGACATAGTCTAATGTTATTATAAAAAACAAACAAAAGTAATGTTTAAAAAAAAGAAGTAAAAAGTGGTCAAAGGAACCAGGTTACCTTACACAAGCAACCCGATATTGTCACGATATGAACAAATAACACATCACATATGTCTTTATTCATAAAATCTTTGAAATTTATGCTAACTGTTAATTTTGTTTGTTGTTTTATTCATTTATTGTTGTCTGCCATAGTTGTTGTTACTTCGTTGTTTTTTTTGTCCATAAATTTTGTAATTTTTTACATTACGTCAAGTCAAATAAAAGACACTAGTGTCTTTGGTCAAAGAAAGTATTTTATTCTATTCTATCACAGCTGGTAGTTTTCGAGACAAATTCTAAAATGCAATTATTGATGGACAATTTGATGATAGTAAAAAAAGTTGTGATAAGGATGTTACAAAGTATGAAAATGATTTGATATATTTTCATGACCAAACATGTATTTACTAAGCTTACAATCAAAATCAATAAGTTGGCAGAGCCATTTTGATTCTGGGAAGATTGGATACTAGATAACTGGGCTATATCATAGGTATATGGTTATACACTAGTAGTACATGTAGACCTGGTGAGTTAGATGAATTAAGTATAAGGAATAAGAAAACATGTCTTTGGCATCATAGATAAGAAGAACAGATGCGTAACCATATATAGTCTCTACGATTTAAGTATTATGCAACATCCTGCTACCCTACAATTTCTGTTTGCACAAATATTGACATGTAACAGTATATAGATGCTTAGTTTTAACGATTAAATCAGTTGCTACTCTGTGTTCTAATTAGGCACACCTCGTCTTAGTCTCCCCTACTCCACGACCCAAACCTTTCCCTACAAACATAGACCCTAAATGAATAGGACTTGAAACAACACATTTATATTAAAGCAAATAAACTAGAATGCAGTGACTTGTACCAACGCATACATGCATACAGACACACAAGACACACATTTCAAAGACCCCCATTGAGTGCTTAGCACAAAGCTAGAAGTCAAAAAAGGCACCATCATTCTACCTACACCTAATGTGTCATAACAACCATGACAAGTTTCTTGAAGTCTTTCTTATTTTAGTATTGAATCAATTATGTGACCACAAATGACAGAATTAACACCTTACCTGTAACTCGGTAGTTTTCGTTGCAATTAGATGACAATGCGAACGTTGGCATAAGGTACGAGTACGTTCTGTGGCTACAAGTATTCTTGGCATTGAAACCTCCAGTGGTACGCTTATAAGCTGTGAATTATAAACATTTGGAGACAATTTTCAAAGATTGCATTTCATTAAAATAAATTTTTAATACACATTCTGAAAACAATTTTCCCTGACTGAAAAATTGTATTTCACAATAGTAGTTTACAGCGGTATAAAATATTGACATTGCATAAATGTATAATGTACAGGGTTATATTATGTATAATGTACAGGGTTATATTATGTATAATGTACAGGGTTATATTATGTATAATGTACGGGGTTATATTATGTATAATGTACAGGGTTATATTATGTATAATGTACAGGGTTAAATTGTGTAAATTGTATAGAGTTATATTATTATAATTTACAGGGTTAATTTACCAGAATTGACTATTTGCTTGAGAATTTATACTAGAACAGATTTTCTTGTTCCAGCCTTAATTGCATTGTTTATTTCAGCATTCTAAGGATGCATTCTTGCATTATTTGTTGAATTTGATTGAAACTTCAGGATTTCAATTATACGAGAAGCGTTTATATAAAAGTAATGTGTGCTGTATACTTGAGCTATTTTTCCCATATTTTGTACACTTTTAAATTACTTGATTCAAAAGAAAAATAATTTGTGATGAAAATGATTTAAGCATTTGAGCAGGGTCACCCAAAGTGTGGACTCTTTTCAGTGGGCTGAATCTTGAGCAGCAGAGTGTGGTTGCCGGAGTGATTCACGTCCCAAATTTTGATTCCCTTTACTCCTCTAAATAAAAATACCCTATCTAACTGCTGGGATCGAAAAATGTCAACAATTCCTTTCTGGAGCGTCTCCTGTATAAATAGTCCTCTACTCTCCAAAATTTGACAACGCCACTAGCCCAAAATGGACTTTGATTGTATCAATAATTATTTACGTCACTGTACATAAACTTGAACTTAATAATATTCACTCTCGGACCACTACGCAAATAGATGGAAATACGAGTTACATCACTCATGAAGACTGGTGATTCATTTGCTGTATTTAGTGTTCATTTCTATGTAATAGCCATTCTCAATTCTATGTGTGAAATCATATCGCTGGTGTGGAAGGCAAAGGCTAACAGTTACTTTTGGTTCTGCTCCTCTCTTGACACAGGCAACCGACTTTAGCATTTTTTTTTTTATTATTCTGATGTCTTCTTGGTCGCATTTTATATATAACAGACAGGCAGTAATAAGTAAGTATTACAAACGTAAGTAACGGTACGAGACATATTCAACATTGGAATCTGAAAAACAGGTAGGATCTGAAGATCATCATACAGCATTAGTTAATAAAATTCACATTACAATTTATGTTTCCGCATGAAGTTACACGTTATCATTATAGAAAGGAAAAATAATGATTTCTCTTGTTCAGGATATATAATAAATTCTCTAATTAATATTTAATGGGTATTTTTGTGAGTGTACCTGTATGTATTAAAATATGTACACCATTAAAATGTTAAAAACCTCAAGTACAACCACAGTACACATGCAAAGTAAACAAAATTATCAAGAAGGATTTGTTAGAAATTTGCCAACATGCTGTGACATTATATCTAACGGTGGGAATTGCCATGCCAGTTCTAAAAATGTGAACAAATATTTTTGGAAATAACACTGATCTCAATATATGCCCATTATTGTTGCAGAAGGTTTATTTCATATTGCAATTTTTTTAAATTTTATGGAATCAAAGTAAATCATATATCCAGCTCACTTTTATTGGAAATGTGCTTTTAATACAGAGATATGGTAATTAGCCAACTATGAAGTATTCTCAAGTTTTATTTTTATTGGGAAGGGTCTAATACTCACTTATCACTCGAATGGAAGGCGGTAAACTGTTATTTATTTGTTCCACTGCATTGTCTACCAGCATCATTTTGAGTGATACAACTTGACGGACGGCAGAAACTCCTTTATCAGTTCTTGCACATCGTTGGAATTGCATCTTTTGTGGTATATCAGCATGACTTTGTGGAACCGCTCCCGCTGTTACTATAGCTTTAATCAAGTCTCCCTCTATTGTCTCTACTCCTTTATTCCTGAAATGGATACAATTTATGCCATGAATTTGGAATGTACTTTTTATTATAGGATACATGCATCTAATGAGTGACCAATGATTCAAAATTTATTAGAGTACCGGGTAGTAATTTTCATGAAAATTCTGACACAAGTTTAAATACGACTTCATGTCCTGAATTTTGATACAAAAAATGTATTATATTTATCACATATATCCGGTTTTCAACCGTTTCCTCAGAAACACATTCATAATCTGTGTATGCATGAACACAGTTTTACTGTCAGTTTATCGCCTGCATTCATTCATTCATGAGTTGTCATTATATTTTCTGTTATAGCAACATATTGGCAACCATTTCACACAATTGCAATTTTTTTCTATAAATGGAATTACAAATTTTATGAAAAACCAGAAAGTGGTACAGTGAGGGAAATTAATCTCACAAATTGCCAAGATAGTTTTGGGAGAATTAGAAAAAAGTCTACATATTCAACAGTCTGTGTGCAATCAGAATCATTGTCAGAAATAACATAAGGACACACACTGAAAGTCTCAGGAGTTACATTGCTGCTAGTACACAAGTGGGAATGCTTGAGTTTGTTACGCATCTATTGACTAAATTCCAAAACTCTTTATTGGCCATCATCTGCTGCTACTGTTTTCCAATGTAATCAAAAAACCCCAACTTTCTTTGGCCTTCACTGCTATCATCTGCAGCTAGAGCCATGGGGGAGAGCTTTCAAGAGCTAGCAGACAATGACACTCGCATAAACTACCTGGAAGTACATATTTTTTATGAAAAAACATCTGAAACATTTGCACATAATTTGGGAACAATATTTTAATATGTTTCGTCCTGAATGAATGCCAAATGTAAAAGTAGTGCCGACCACAGAGTGAAAATATAAAATAACACCTTGATTGGTACGGTGACTGGTATCTTCATTTAGAACACCACAGTAACATTTCCACGCCAATAACAACAGATTGCAAAACAATTGCCACAAGACAGTCACAAATATGTAACTACTTATTGATGATAACAGGGAAACAATGGTCATTACATGAAGAGCGCCACCTAGAGTCACTGACCTTTGCATTCCCATATAGCCTTTACCACTGTAAGAGAGTAATAATACAACTTTTCTTTTTGCTTTTCTTTTATTCTGTTCAGCATTCTGTACTGTTTCTTTTGGTGCAGTGTCAGACACCTGTGTAAAATCAAATACCAAAACAAGAATTTTTCTGTTTACAAAATCATTTACAGGGTTCAGTTTACACAGGGTTCAGTTTAGACAGGTTTCCAGTTTACACAGGGTTCAGAAACACAATATAGTATTACAAGTAGGAAGACATCAAGGAACCATTTGAGTGCCCGAAATTTAGTGCTAATATTTTCAATGTAAAATGTTAAATTTAAAAGTTAAATTCTGGTTCTAGGAATACACCGCATTGACTATCAGAGTTATATTTAATCAGCATACATCATTTGTCAACCAATTATAGCCTGCATTACAGAAAGTGGCCTGTAACACAAGTTTTGATTGGTGATTCGTGATCATACAAGAACTGAATGAAATTTGAATATTAGATTATTGGTCAAATTGAGTTCAATAGTGCATGGCACAATCTGCCCCAAAATGGCCACAAACAAGAAAAAAACATACATACACTCTTTTCAGTTCTTTGTTTCTTAATGACAACATCAGATTCATTGTCTTCAGCCACTGGTCTTTTCTCGCCCACCACTGGAATTGATCCACTTTCTGCCATTTTGAATGGCTGCCTGAGACTGAGAGATTTCAATCTGTATAAACCTTGTACCAGTTTTCTTACTATCATGAATACATACAGAGTCAGAGTGGCAACTTGGCAGTTTACCAAACAACCTGTACTGGAACGACAATGCAGTTATTTGTTGGTTTTAAAATATAATACAATGTATTAATTAATATAGTATATAAATAGAGGTTTTTCAATAAATAAATAAATATTCAATAAATAACCTAAGACTATAATACTAGACTTTTTAAATCATCTTAAAGTACACATACTAAGAAATATTGATAAAATCAATGTTCGAAAAAATATCTAATGAGAATATTATATAATATAAATTATTCAATAGATTAGAACAAAGATTCTCTGAGAATATGTGCATGTGCATACAATACGTGCATGGTTCTGCCAAATGCATTCTCTCTTCTGACACTATTTTGAAGGTAACCATGTATTATTGTAAGCTTGTGTTGGTAAATGTTGCTGGCAATGTACTGTAAGAGGCTGAGCATATTTGGTTGAATCACTAAAAAATGTAATCTACAACCAAAATTCAGTATGTAGAATTATTGTACTGAGTTTCAACAAAATCATGCAAGACACCTCAGAAACAAACAGTTGTTAATATGATGTTCCCAAATCATCTTTAATCCAGTATCTATGATCCTAATACAGAGCCTTGCAATAAATGATTTCAAACACACTTACAGGTCGTCAATTGGACAAATTTGATCAAGTCAAATAGCACAACCTACAAGTATAGTACTTATGAGCCAAATTTCATCTGAATCATATACATAGTAGTGAGCACATAGACATGAACAAAAACAAAATGGTCACCAGTCGGCCATTATTCTTGAATTTTGACAAAAATATGACATTCACCTGTAACTCACTATGCAGGACCATGATACAAAGCTTGAATGTTCCTCTCCAATAGATGGTTCCGGCCATTTTAACAAACTGCAATTTCAGGTTTTTAGCCAAAATGGCTGTCAATTTGACAATCTTAAGCAGGTCACAAAATAGCACATTATATGGTATAACCAAAGAATAAAGTATTTGTGTACTAATTTCAAACTGAATCAGGTGATGTATTAGTGAGGAATAGGCATAGAAAAAAAATAAAAACAAAAGGGTTGTCAGTTTGCTATTTTTGTTTGAATTTCAAATCACTTATTGGTATGTAGTTTACATATCAGCACTAAGGAAGACTAATGAGGAGCCTCGTTGTAAAATACAATAAATGACTGACAGTAGAAAGCATTTTTGAAAGCCAATTTTTTTTATTAAAATCTTTATGACCTGTCAATTGCTTGACTTTGTATCATATTCAATGCGCAAGATCACAAGCTTTTTTTTGGTAAAATAAGATTTCTAAACTGATGCAACAAAACATGACTACATGTTTTCTGAGCACAAACCTTGTTCTAACATTTTTATGTGGTGTGAATAGATGTGAAGTATAATGCACCAGAAGACCAATTGTTCAATAATATTTTGTAGCCGGGAAATGGAATAAAATGACTGACATTTTACTCCATATTTAATCAAACTTAAAGTATTCTATTAATTCTCAAACAAAATAACGATTTACATTAGCAAACTAGTTTTACAACTGAGTTTTTACAGTATTCAGGGCATGGCACTCGCATTGCTTCTCTGCTTTGTCTAACATTTAGTGGTGCTTTGAGGAAAGCCGGAAACAGACTGACAGGAAGTGGCATGGCTACATCTAGGAATCTTTTTTTTATTTCTCTCAAAGACTATTTGTTATATAATTTTTTTTTACAAATGTCCATTTCAGGGCAATAAAAACCCAAGTGTAAGTCAAGTATGAGACAATGTTATTGGTCAAAAGCAGTCACATAATATTAATAATGTGATAAATATTGATATTGGCCTTTTCAAGCGTATTTCCTGCCTCTGGCATTTTATGTGTCATTTTGTGTTTTACCATTTTACTGTTCTCTGATGTCATATCATAAAAACACTTACAGCGGGTACAAATAAGATTTATATGAGAAGTTAGAAAAGTCCCCATGAATATTGCAATATACTGAGAAACTTTCATATTGGCAAAATCAGATGATCTACTGTTTTTGAAAACATTTTGCTACATTTTGTAACAATCTTGCTTCCCCAGGCACAATGAAATAGATAGGTCCTAACGTTTGAAGTTATAAACTTTATTTTCACTTGTGATATGGTGTATCCATGCTGTATTTTCACTTGCAGATCAGTTGTGAAAATAACTCCCATATTACACTGACATCGCATTCTGACATGTTATGCTGGAATGTACATACATGTACCTGAGCTACGAATGTACCCGCTGCCGATAAAAGGGATTAAAAAATTCGTATTTTAGATGCCAATGTTGCAATTTTGTAGTACAATTTCACAGTTTCCAAACATTAACTGGTTAAATTTTCAAATCAGCTATCATATTGATTAAATTAAGACTCTGTTTTACATCTCGCATGCGAATAATTACTGTAAACAATAATTTACTCTACTCTAGAACTCAAATGTTCTTTGATTCACGGATTGGTTATTATAATATTTACGTTACTTGCCCTGATTTGAATTGCGGACATTTTGTTCCTATTTAGTTATCTGTTATGTATGCATATATCTGGTCACATGAACAACACCATAAAACTGTAAAAAAATCTGGTGGTTACCTTGCAAGCGAATGACAACACGTGTGAGAGTAAAATGTACAGGAAACAGCTGATAATTTATTGTGGTAGAGGGCGCTGTTGGACTGAGCCATTTTTTTATTCAGGGTAATATTTCATATGGAAGTTCTGATAAAAAAATTCAATTCAAGTCCACAATTGACATTCGTTTATGACATCAGATCATACATAGTAATTACTCGGTTTACAATTCAATTAAAAATCAAGATAACTCCTTTTTAAATAATGGTATAACCCACTTCCAAGATGGTGGCTGACAATGTAAATCCGTGAAGTACCTGAACTGAAGCTGAAATCGGAAGATTCCAACGTGAGTAAACGGAATATTTATGCAACTTTCAGGTAAATTTGGTATCCAAGCGACTTCTATTCAAAAAGAATAATTTAAAGATTGAGTCCTGAATTGAATAATAGCCCCGCCTACACCAAAATTGTTTGTCCTTGTCATTTAATGACTGGGTGACTCAGATCGCTAAAGATAGCGTATTTCTTGCTGGCTGTATAAAACTGGTATGCATATTGTGGGCGGGGCACTTGTACGAGGCAGGCGAACAGACTCATTCAGACTTAAAATATCAGGTACTTATCAAGGGGTTAATTGTGAACCGGGAGGGGGGGAGATTCTGGGAGAATTTTTTGTTTGTTTTGTTTTTTTGGCAAATATTTTATTCATTCATGTATCCAAACTCTTTTACTACATGTATATGCAGTCATGGTTTCCCGACAACCAAAACTGCCAACCCACCAAATATGGACCCCCTAAGTTGTTCACTTTCAGCCTGAATCGACCAAACATCAAACCAAGTTGGATTTTAAGGTAGCAGGATAGTTTTCTTGCATGAAAAATGTAAACACCTATAATCGGAATAAATTTTACAAGAAACCATACAATCTATATATGTTTAGAAAGCTCTTGACTTGTATTTTCCTACTATTAATATTTTGTGAACATTGTGTTTGTTTTAGCGTCACGTGACTCTGAAAATCAGCGGGGCTGATAATTTAACTAACGTGAATAAAATTTCAATTGTCATCTCTACAGTCATTCATGCGATCAAAAACTTTACACTGTTTTGAAGCAAAGGTCATGAAGTTTAAATCCGTATTTCTATTTTTTGCATTAAGTTTTTTTTTTCTTTCCGAAAATCACAAATTTCAAGCACGTTTTTTGGTGTTAAAGTTAGAGTATACTGGTGGTTTGCGCGAGGTTTGTGAAAAAACGCAATAGAATTTTGCAAATATGTAAATACGGATATGAAGCCAACATATCCAAGAGTAAGAAAAGTTAAAAGGCGACATCGTAGCGCTATTCACTGAAACGCCATTTAAAATTAGGTCAACGGTAATTGCCAAAAACCGAACACCGAGAAATCGGCACTTTTATGATTTCAAACTTCAATCAACGTTAACTCCCGTTTTAGGAGCAAAATTTACATGGGCTAATTGTAAATGAAATGCTTTGAAAGTTGTTTTCAGGAAAAATCATGAACCGACATTTATATCTGTGATATTTTTTGGCCGTTTTCTTTCACGCTATGGAGTTTTGTGATGGTCTGTGCTGATAACGAACGGTGACGTCATTTATTAAAGCTTGGATTATGCAAAGTGGGCGGTTCTGTTTGTTCGCTTTCTTTTTCTTGGAAATTTTCGCGTGCTTACTATCTCGTCCATAATTAGTGAATGACAACTAAACTAAAGAATTACTGATAACCCTCTCCTTCTTTGCATATTTTGCACATTAATGAAGGAAGCTGCCCTGTTTTTT